TCGGCACGGCCGCCCCGCTCCGCCGGGCGCAGCTTGGGAGGACCCAGGCGGGAGGACCCAGGCGCGCGGCGGGCGGTCGGGGGAGGGCGCTGGGCCCTGCAGTACGGGCGCTCCCGGGAGCGGCGGCAGCACTCCTGCTTCCCTGCAGCGCAGAAGTGCGGAGCCCCGACTCCGGGGGAGCGCGGCCCAGAAGTCGCACAAAATCCCGAGCCACAGGGCACAGGGTCTCTCCCAGGGTGGCCGGCCAAGAATCCTGGGGCCCCATCCACTCCGCTCCAGCCCGCCCGCAGGGTAAAGAGTCCACCCCTGGAGAAGCCAAGCGTAAGAGCAGCGGCTACACTTCCACACAGCCCTAGAGCAGCGACTGGGGCCTGACCATGGAGAACGAGAGTTCACCGGAACAGAGACGCTGGAGTCTCTCCTCAAAGAAACTTCGTGTGAGCAGAGTGCAGGGAAGTGCAGGCCGGAAGGGAATTTTGGTAGAACTAAAAAGAAGGCTGGCAGCTCGACTCGGCAAGAAGCTAATCCCTAGGCCCGCTAGTTCTCTTACTGAACGGAACCGGGTCCACTCACCTGGTACAGCGAAGCCCAACGCCGACGCTGGGACAGCCTTGAGAAAAGCGAGGCATCTGGTGCAGGGCGCCGAAGGAGAACCGGGCAGCTCAGGCTCACGACCAGAACCCTACATGGCTCACAGGCAGGGCTCTTTGAAGGTGGGAGGCAGAGGGGACAGCGAGTCATAAGGCAGTCCACGGAGGCGACACGCGGGCTTGAGCTCAACAGGGGGACGCCTTGCAGTGGGAACTAAGGCCACAGGTGGGTTCCGAGCGAAGACGAAGTTCGGTCTAAAAGTTTGGATCAGCAAAGGTTTGGCCTGTGGGCATGACCTCCTCTGGGCTCCTCAGAAAGAAATCTAGAACAGAGATAGCGGCCTGAGTTCAGTCTTCAGTTCCCCTGACCTGAGGTCTGTATGCCGGCAGATCCACTTGGTGGAGGCTGAGGTTTCCAAAGAGCAACTCCGGGTCACAGGTGGAGACGTTGTCTTCGGTTTCTGTAGGAGAACCAAACGTCTCCTGACTAACTTCCTCAGCTACGGTTTTAAGTTACTGCCGCCTGCTCGCTTATTAAATTGCTCATTTACTTCCCCAGGCTAGCGAGGTGCCTGCAGTGTTCCTCGAAGGAGTTCAGGACTTCCCTTCGTATCCTGGCTTGGGGGCTGGGGGGCACTGCCCTGAAAGGGGCCCCTCCTCCACCTCAGTTTGCCACAGAGAACCAGGAAAAGAGACAGCCCAGAAGAGTCCTCCTGGTGTCAAGTACCAAACCTCAGACACCAAACTCAAAAACCACCTCTGCCCAAATTTAGGTGGAGCACTTTATGTCCTAGGGCATATTCAAAACAATTAATTAGTGAAGACTAACAGTGGAGTAGGATACAAAACAGGGCAAATGGCTTAACAAAGAAATCAAGACAAGAGACAAAGAAAGTTCCTCCAAAATCATCACCATCCTAAAAGTGCCTGCATGCATATGACTGCAAAAAGCTGTGTCTTCTGAAGAAGTAACATCAGAGATTCACTAAAATAGTCTAACCAAATTATTAAACAAATAAATTAACAAACAAACAAAAAACGACAAAAACAAGCTCTAGAGAGGGAGCAGGGAATCAATATAAAGAACTGACAGACTATATTAATTAAAATATCCAGTTTTTAACAAAAACAATTATAAGATATACAAAGAAATAGGAAAATGTGACCTACATACGGGGAGAACAAGCAGACCACAGAAACTGCCCATGAGAGAGTACAGATATCAGATTTAAAAGGCAAAGATGGCCAGGTATGGTGTTTCAAGCCTGTAATCCCAGCACTTTGGGAGGCTGAAGTGAGAGCCTGAGCCCACAGGTTTGAGAACACCCTGGGCAACTTGGCGAGACCTCATCTCTACAATATATAATACATTAAAAAAAAATTAGCTGGGTGTGGTAGCGCACACCTGTACTTCCAGCTACTTGGAAGGCTGAGAAGGAAGGATCACCTGAGCCCAGCAGACTGATGCTGGGGTGGCCGTGAATGTGCCAGTGCACTCCAGCCTGGGCAATGGAGTGAGACTGTAACTAAAAAAAAATTAAAAATTTAAAAAATAAAAAAGGCAAAGACTTCAAAGCAGCTATTATAAGTATGTTCAAAGATCTAAAGGAAACCAGAGACGAAAGGTACAATAATGACAATGTTTCAACAAAAAAATAAAATATCAATGAAGAGATACAAATTATTTTATTAAAAAAATACCAATAAAAAAATCTGGATTTGAAATGTACAATAACTGAAGTGAAAAATAAACTAGAAGGCTCAACAGTGCATCTGAAATAACAGAAGAAACAGCAAACTCCAAGACAAATCAGTAGAAATGGTGCAGTCCAAAGAGAGAAAAGGCATGACAAAAGATGAGCAGAGCCTCAGAGAAATGTTACACGCCTTTACTCAGACCCATACATATATAATGGGAGTACTAGAAGGAGAGGAACTAAAGAAAGGAGGAGAAGCCAATGCTAGAAAAAATAATGGTCTAAAGATCCCCAAATTTGACTTTTAAAAAACCAGTCTAAGCCGGTCTCAGTGTCTCAGCCTGTAATCCCACGCTTTGGGAGGCTGAAGTGAGTGGATTGCCTGAGCCCGCGGGTTCGAGACCCACCCAGGCAACTTGGGGATACCTCATCTCTACAATAAATCAAAAAATTAGCTGGGCGTGGTAGCGCACGCCCGTAGTTCCAGCTACTTGGAAGGCTGAGGCGGAAGGATCGCCGGAGCCCAGCAGGTCGAGGCTGCCGTGGCGGGGAGTGGCCACTGCATTCCAGTCGGGCGACTGAGTGAGACTCCAACTCAAAAACAAAACAAAAACCAGTCTACACATTTACACATTCAAGATGTGCGGCAAGCTCCAAGTAAGAGATATGAAAAACAAAAAAAGAACAACAACAAAAAAACCCCCAAACACACCTGTAAATCAGAGTAAAAATGCTGAAACCCAAAGATAAAGAAAAAAATGTTTTAGTAGTAAGAGAACAACTCCACTTATAAGGGAGCCACAATAAAATTAAGAGCTAACTTCTCATCAGAAACAGTGAAGGCCAGAGGCAGTGGAATAATATATTCAGAGTGCTGAAAGGAAAAAAAGTTGTCAACTAAGAGTCTGAAATCCAGCAAAACTATCTTTCAAAAATGAAGAAAACATAAAGACATTCACATATAAACAATATCTGAAAGCATTAGTAGCTAGCAGACTTGCCTTAAAAGAACTAAAAAGGAACCGGGTTCGGTGGCTCAGCCTGTAATCCCGCGCCTTTGGGAGGCTGAGGTGAGTGGATTGTCTAGCCTGCGGGTTCGAGACCCTCCTGGGCAACTTGGCGAGACCTCATCTCTACAATAAATCAAAAATTAGCCAGGTATGGTGATGCGCGCCTGTAGTTCCAGCTACTTGGAAGGCTGAGGCGGAAGGATCGCCAGAGCCCAGCAGGTTGAAGATGCGGTGGCTGGGAGCGGCCACTGCACTCCAGTTCCAGTCTGGGTGACAGAGTGAGACTCCAAGTCAAAAAAAAAAAAGAACTAAAAAGGAAGTTTCTCAAGTTGAAAGCAAATTGTCCCTGATGGTAATTCAGATACATGAGAATAAAGAATAGGCCAGGAGCAGTGGCTCAGCCTGTAATCCCAGCACTCTGGAAGGCTGAGGCGGTGAGAGGACTGCCTGAGCCTGGGGGTTTGAGACCAGCCTGGGCAACTTGGTGAGACCTCATCTCTACAGTAAAAATTACACACACAAAATAAAAAGGAATGAATATTGGCAAAGACAATTATGTAATTGGAAAAAAAAATTTTTTTTTTAAGAGTTGTACTCTCATTTTGTCATTTATGCTACAGTGCAGTGGCACACTCACAGCTACAGCAAGCCTCAGCCTAATGGGTTCAGCCAATTCTTCCACTTCAGCCTTCCAAGTAGCTGCAACTACAGGTAACTTGTCATCACGCCCAGCTAATTTTTAAAAATTTATTGTAGAGATGAGGTGTCACCAAATTGCCCAGGCCAATCTCGAGCCCCTGGACTCAGGCAATCCTTTCACCTCCACCTTTCCCAAAGTGCTGGGATTACAGGCATGAGCCACCACACCTGGCTGGTAGGGAAAAAATTAAAGGCATATTTCTTTTCTACACTGATTTACAAAGCAATTATATACAGCAATATGTATATAATTGTATTGTTGGGCATATAGAAATGAAATATATTTGGCAATAAGAGCAAAAATAACATAAGTGGGAGGAAAGCTATATTAGATTAAGGAAATGACTCCAGATGGTAACTCAAATCCACAAGAATAAATAGAGAGAGCCAGGAAGTAGTAATTAAGAAAGTTAATATAGGAGCCATAAAGAAGGAAAAAAACTATGCACTTTGCAGCAACTTGGATGGATTTGGAGTCTATCATACTCAGTGATCTCTCACAGAAACAAAGAACTAGACCAACCTGGGCAACATTGCAAGATCTTGTCTCCATTAAAAAAAAAAAAAGCAGCCGGGCTTGGTGGCTCAGCCTGTAATCCCGCGCCTTTGGGAGGCTGAGGTGAGTGGATTGCCCGAGCCCGCGGGTTCGAGACCCGCCTGGGCAACGAGACCTCATCTCTACAATAAATCAAAAAATCAGCCGGGCATGGTAGCACACGCCTGTAATTCCGGCTACTCGGAAGGCTGAGGCGGGAGGATCACCAGAGCCCAGCAGGTCAAGGCTGCGGTGGCCGGGAGCGGCCATTGCGCTCCAGTCTGGGCGACCGAGTGGGGCTCCGACTCAAAAAAAAAAAAAAAAGCAGCAGCAAAGAACTGCGTACCCCATGTTCTCACTCATAAGTGGACCCTGACTACCTATCACAACACTGTAGAAAAGGGACTGGCAGCCGTGGGACCCTGCTGGGAGGTGGAGGGGAAGGCATAAGGCCAGTAAGGGTGCCAGATCTTAATCCAGGCGAAGCGAAGGCCAAGGGGGTTCCAACCTTCACCTGTGCCTGGACCACTTACGTGTCCAATCCTGACTTGCACCCCATATCTTACGAATAAAAAGTCTGAAAAGACAGTGTCACAAGCTCTCTATACACATCTTTGCTATTCTTTCTATTCTTTCCTCTCTCAGCCTCTTCAAAAGGCATAAAATTACGCAAAGTAATAATAACAATTTTTTTTGTATTTATAACCTATATACATGGAAAATGTATTAAAAAAAGGAAATGATATAGAACTACATAGGAGTAACATTTCTATATCTTACTGAAATAAGTATATATCTGAAATAGATTCTTATAAATTAAGCAACTCCTATTTACAACCACTAAGAAAAGAAGAAAAGAAAAAGGAAAAATCATTAAAGGAATAAAAAATGCTATACTAGAAAACTCATTTAATGCAAAGAAAAGTAGTAAATAAGGAATTAAAAAATAAAAAGACCCAAGACATATAGAAAACAAAAAGGAAAGTGGCAGACATGAATCCAACCATATCAATAACATTAAGCAGGAACAGATTAAATAATCCAATCAAAAGACACAGATTGACAGAATGGAAGTCCAATTATACTAACTAGATGCTATCTTAAAGAGAAACTTAAAAAATATATTTTATTATTAT